ACTTTTTATTTATAACTTAATATTATTTATACCATTTAACGTTTATTTATTTATTTATTTATTTATTTATTTATTTATTTATTTATTTATTTATTTATTTATTTATTTATTTATTTATTTATTTATTTATTTATTTATTTATTTATTTATTTATTTATTTATTAATTTATTTCTCTTAGCTTATTCGCAGAGATGTCAAAAATAGGGGGTTTCAACCAAACTAGAAATGAATAAGACCGAACAACTTTTCAGCCGATGACTCACCCCGTTTTCGTCCTCGACAGTGACGCCATTCTGTCGGAATCTCAGCACCAACGGCTGAGCCCAGATGGCCGAGTTCTTCTCCATTTGTTTGAGTTTGCGAATGCCATCAGCAGGGAATGTGAGCCCGAACTGGCGTCCAACAGCAAACGTCGCCAGATGCTCGACATAGTAGGATGGCGTCACGTCATCGATACGTGATCCCATCATTGAACGTGGCGCTAAATGAAGTACAATATCAGTAGGAGCAAGGTGGCGCTGGTTGGCGCTGGCTGGCCAACAAGCAGAACGTCAAGAAGCCGGTTATCGACTGCTGCGAGTGTCGACGTCGTCGTACAATTACTCGACATTACCACCGACAAAACGAAATGAGCTTTCAGATCGACGCCAACTGGACGCATTGTGCGACCTCACATCAATTCTGTGGCGTCATGTCTAATTGTAAGGAGCTTTTCAGGCATTGGAATTCCACACAAAACACTGATTAGAGCTAGGAACGAGAAGAAGAGTAAGAGAAACTGTTAAAAAGAGCTCAAATCCACAAAGCAAAGCGATGAAATGCGGTTTTTCGCCGACAATACCAGCACCCAGTTTCTGCCGCAGTGCACTAACACCCAGCTCGTTCACGAGTTTGGCCCAAAAATGATTGATAACAGCGATCAATAGCTATTAAACGGAGAAAGTCCCCAGTAGCTAGCAACTCGTCAAGGCTGAGTCGCTGTAGAGACAAATGTCAACACCTAATCAAAGCCAGATTTTTGAGAAAGCACTACTGAAGGGTTGACGGTATTGATAAGTACTACCGGGTTTTACTGCGAGAAAGAGAAAGGAAGCAAAGAAAACAACTTACGTGCAACATTCGACATGTCGTGATAAGGCATGTGTGTTTGGGAAGGATGTCGATGTGAACTCGACGGTGACGGAGCACTAGAGGGGGGTCCAGCTCCCACGCGAGAGTAATAGTACCCCCCGGAAGGAGGAGGCCTGAAATAAACAAAATTGAAACCTCTGAACAAATGCAGTCTCTGTGGAACTGAAAAAAGTGCCCGAATACTCTTTCGCCCTAGAAGGGGCGAATTTTTGAGACAATTTTTTATGAGCGGTGACAGTAATGCAGCACTGGCAGTGGTGTGAGCCGTGGTGAATGGCGAAGTGATAAGAGCACATAACGACCGTTTGGCGCCTGCCCGAAACGGCACCGACCGGCCGAAAAGGAGCCTTTTAGTTCCGTATCGAACTTTTGTCAGTTCAATCCAGAGCAGCACACCGAAGTGTGTCCAAAGTGGCTTGTAAGGAGGAACGTCGGGGAATTGAGCATGAATTGCTGGAGCCATCAAAAATGATTTTATATTTTCCGGAGCTTGCTTAAGCCACCAACGCCAATTCAGTGCAAACGTTGCCCCTTTCTGTTTCCTGATTCTTCCAACAGCCACAAGGACGGGAAGCAGATAGTGCGATTTCGGCGAGCAGGTGGTGATTAGGCTGTCGAAATCTATCGAACTCACTTCTGATAAGCGTCGTTGCCTCGTCGCATTCTTTACAGGAATCTGACGGACATTTCTGAAAGCGACATTTCATTCGACGATGTCACACTCATTAACAATTTGCTAAACAAACAACGACTCATGCTGGAGTTGATAAGAGGAAGGAAAACAATGAGGATGAATCATCGAGGTCTGATGCCGCGTGAAATACAAATACCAGTTCATAAGTACACATTCTTTGCAGCACACAATGAAGACACTACAACAGCTGAGTTATGAGGCGAACTGTCTCGATGGTGGTGGGAACGATTATGATGGTACAGAAGATTTTCAAATGATTCAGGAGAGGCTTTCACTAACGAGGGGAGGTCGTTCAGGGCGTGGAGCGCTTTTTGAAAACGGTTTTTTGCATGAAATAGGGGCAGGTGCAGTGAACACAGATCTATGGTCCATTTCCGCTAAATGGCCTTCTGAATGCCAAAAAAGGAGTGAGAATCATTTTGTTGGAAACTGCAGTTTTTACTTGTTAAAAGTGGTGTGTTTCATTCATGGCGTGGACTACTTGCGTAATGGAGGGTCTTCGTAAGGTGTGTGTCTCGAAAACATCGAGAAATTTGGTCAAAATTGGAAAGTTGTCGTGGTGGTGTCATGCTGTGTACTAAAGAGCGTGTGGAAGTTCCATAAGAGCATTTGGCCAACATCCTCCAGCAGCGTCGGTGGTGTAGTGGTTAGCGATGGGGATTTCGATTGGCACGCTTGGTCTGGGTTGGTGGTTCGGATCCCCGAGGTGTCGGGCTTTTTGCATTTTTTGTAGGCACTTCACGGTTTTCTCCAAATAGCACAGGTGCCAAAATGGATGTGTTATTCAAGACCAGAACTATTGATAACCCAGATTAGGTAAGTTTTCACCGAAAGCAGGCAAAAAAAAGTTGTACCGTTGGAATTTCGCCGGATAGCGGCGGCTCCAAAAAACAATGCCACATTCGTGACAAGAGCACCAATTTACCTCTGGTGCCAACGTTTCGAAGAAAATCATCTTTGGCATCTTTGGCCTAACTTCGAAAACTTGACATAAGTAAATCTTCAAGTATTCCCACTCGCTCGGAGGCGAGCTCCGCACGGAAAACTGGCAGAAAACTACTGCACTGTGGGTGACCCTCCGACCAACACCAGCCAGCTTGCTTCTGCTATAGTCTATTCGGCAGGAGCATCTCTCATTTTTTGAGGACTATCTAGATGATGTCATTTCCAAGAAGTTCATCGTCGAGCTTTACTTGCCACAGAGTTTACTTATTCATCTAGCAAATTTTCGAAGTCGGGCCAAAATCTTGATTTTCTTAGAAACATCGACTAGAAGGGTTATCAGGTGCCCTGATTATGAATACAATATTCGTTTTGTAGCTCCGACATCATTTCGGGCCCCTATGACGTTCTTCGACGGCACCTTGGTGAAGTTTTTGCGTCACAACTTTCTCTCACCAGTTTTTGGTAAAAGCCCACTTGTAAGGGTTTTTGTAAGCCTAATTGTAATTATGACATCAATTGCTGGTGTTGGCGTTCTTCGGTGCCAATTTTGTGGCGCCAAATCACAGTGCAAAAATTTTGTCACGCGGGGAATCGAACCAAGGACCACTTTCCCACCCTTTTTTGGCATTCAGTGGGCCATTTAGCGGAAATGGACCACAGTTCTGTATTCCAGGCACATCCCTCTATATCATAGGAAAAACCATTTTGAGAAAGCGCTCCACGCCCTGAACGACCTCCCCTCGTAAGATTTCGAGATCTTCCCTACCTCGCTTACATTATGGCCTTTCTGCTTCCAAATTGTAACCTGGGCTGCCAGTGAAATAATTGCGACGACGGTAGGGACTCAAAAAAAGCAAGGTCCAGAACTTCTGGTCAAAATTAAGCCTTCCTCTCGGAAAAGTGCAGCGGTGCGCAAGCAGCGGAGCATGTGCACAACTTTCGAGATGATTTGACAAGGCGAGGGGCTAGAGCCAGGGTCAACCGTCCGTTGGACAAAGTCCAACGAGGGGGTGGGGGGTCGTATTTGGGGGGGGGTGGAAAAGAGGGGGGGGTCGTATTTCGCGAGGTAGCGTTAATGTTACAGTAAGGGAAGGGATGATTTTTTATGGAACGGAGAGCGGATTAGGTTGTAGGCTGGGATTTTGGGTTGAGTGTTGAGTGCGAAAATTTGTTTCACATTCGATATATACCCCCTCCCCGCTCGACGGCAATTTTGGAGGGAAAAGTGGGCGGAGTTGGGCTGTGTCGACTGGTCTCAAATACTATAGAATCCCCCCATGATGGCGAGGGTGGTGGAGGATGGTCGTAAGGGTTGACCCTGAGGGGGGTCGTATCGAGGCCCTCTAGAAGGGGGAGGGGGTCGTAAAATTTTCGAAATCGGTCCAACGTGACGGTTGACCCTGGCTAGAGCCTAGGATGGAGCATTAGCCCCGCCCAACACCATTGAGCCCGCCCACAAATTGGTGCTATCACTTCGACGCTACTGGAGAGAGGGACTCTATTTTCGTCTTGTCGACGGTTTCTTCCCGTTTTTCCATTACTGGCGTTATACTTCACATCTCCACTGTCACTTGCAAGCGCAAAAAAACATCAGTTTAATCACGGACTTTACTTTTAATCGTTATTTTGGTTTCACTAGGGCTCACGACAACTCATAGCGCTATTTTTAAAGCAACAGGTCCTACATCTTCACCCACACCCACCCTCGAACTTTACCGCCATTCTACAGGGTGGACGGAAACGAGAGCGTTTCTGAAGCATGTTGAGCTTCTTCAATCTAATAGGCACAGTCGCTGGAGCAACCCTTGGAAGCAACCAATGGACATTTCAGCAGGATCGACCGCCTGCACATAAAGCGGAAATTGTGCAGAACAGATGCGGCAGATTTACAGAATCCACGACACTGAATGGGCAGAAAACCTCGTTGCGTGTTGTATCCAATGGGTTGTTAGCGTGCAGCGCACGATGGAATGCTAGGAGCTCAGTTGGAACATCGATGAAATGATGGAAAGCCTAGGACAAGCTCGATACCACCACTCTACACAACGCATACAATGCGTTCAGTTCGCCCATGTAACAAGCGCAGACAGCTGTCATTTCTAAGTAACTTCTACATATTCAAAATCGAATTGAGCGCACTTAGTCGGAATAAAAAAACCTTCAAAGAGCATATTTGAATCTATCGAACAAGCTTTGAAGAAGAATTCCACAAGGGCAACAATAAGTATGTCACGGGAACATTTAGGTTTGAGCTCAAGGCCCTACTGGTTCGATGGCGATGGTGAATAACTTCATGTTTTGAAGACGGTGAGAAGTGAACAAGGGCATGCTTCCGTTTGTGCAGGTACCTTTCAGGATCATTCTACCGTGAGACTTCCAAAAATGACGGC